AAGATGTTTGCTTGCAGGCTACTATAATGGAGGAGCTGATACACAATCCCCGATAACCCCCTAACATGGTTTGTCAAATTTTTTTTGAAACAATCGACTGAACCTAGAAGCTTGCACCAACAGCTAGACCTCAAAGTTGAGAGAGATGTGTACAAGATTTGACATAGAAATGGATCCTTCAACCTTATTAAGACATTGGCGATTATACCCAGGGGAAGCAGTAGAGGATTGTTACATTTCTAGGTATTATATTCCGAAAGGAACTCGAATATTTGCAAATTTGTGGAAATTACATAGAGATCCAAATGTTTGGTCGAATCCTGACGAGTTCTTGCCAGAAAGATTTCTTGCTAATGAAGGTAAAAATGTAGATTTTTCTGGTCAGAATTTTGAGTATATACCATTTGGATCCGGAAGAAGGTCTTGTCCTGGTATTAATTTTGCAATACAAGCAATACAGATGACTGTTGCTAGGTTACTTCAAGCATTTAGCTTCACAACACCATTTGGTCAGGCTGTGGATATGACTCATGAAGGTATAGGTATTACCTTGCCTAAGGCTACTCCTCTGGAAATTCAGATCACTCCACGTCTTTCTTCTGAATTATATGAATACTAGATGGTAGATTTAAGTCCAAAGTTATCATTTTTGGGGTTTATGAGAAGTTGTGCACTATGAATTGAATTATTTCAATTTGCTTATATGAATAAATCAACTTTGTTCCAATATTTACTCGAATATAATTTTTTTTTACTCAACTATAAATATGAGACTAATCTAGTTTCGAGATTGTGCCTGCCTGTTGTTTATAAATTATAGAGATCGTCTATTATTTTTAAGCATGCTTACCATTTGATTCGCTTCTCATGGCTTATTGAAATCGTTTATAAAACTATAAGATTCTAGGTAAGAAGCCACTAATTTATTAGATTAAGTTTAGGAGACAAATTGTTAAAAAAAAAAAAAAAAGTGATAGATAACAATGGGGCTGAAACCATGATATCCGCCGTGGCAATTTACTTAACTAACTAGACCAACCTATATTTAAGGTTGTTCAACCCTAACTAGTCCTTCTATATTTATTTATTGTTGAATGTTTTGAGTATGGATATTTTTTTTTTTTTTGCCATTCGATATTATAGATCTATTCAGCAAAATTAACTATTTTGACAGCTTTTCATGAAAAGCATTTAGCTTTTTGAGAACCTATAAGGGATAATACAACCCAACGAGAGAAATGAATGCCAATTGAAATTAAATGTTACATTATCAAGAATCAAATCTAGAAACGTGGTCCCAGACTCCACCCTTACAACTAGGCTAGAAGTCATTTGTAATGAATTCGAATTTAACTTCAAAAATGGCAAAGTAACAAATACACCATTATTGGGATCAATCTTGACACAAATGTGTGGATATAAATGGACAGACTATCTATCTGAGTGGGAATTTTTCCCCTCAGTTTTTGTAATATATATATTAATAAAGTATAATTAGTTAAGTGTTTAATTTAATTAATTAATTAAAATTGATATAATATTAAGAAATCACATATACATTTTTCTAGTAATGAGCATATGCCAAATAATTGCCAAACCTAATGTAGTTAATGCAGGCTTGGTTTATGGAGTTCGTTGTGAAGTCAGAAGATTTTAGGATTTTGTTATATCTTGTCTTACTAAAGCAAGGATTTCATTTTTCTATTTCATGCATGTTTCTGACAAAATTAACATTACATTAGTAAACAAAATAAAAATAAATAAATAAGTATTATATTAATTAAAGAAATAATTTATATAAACAGAATAGGGATTAAATAAAATAAGATAATCGAATATTTTATTAGCTTCTATGGAGACAAAGATGGCTAAACGTATGGAGCATAATTTCTTAGTGTCTTTTGTTTTTTTTTTTTTTTAATACAAAAGAAAAAAAAAAAAGACATCAAAGTATAAAAAGCTACTTTAACCATGTTGATCGAGATAGAGCGATTGTGACTCATTCTTTCTTAATTAAAGATTTTAAGTTCAAATTTTGGATATAGAAATTGCCACTGAAAAATTGCCACTATATACACCATGCCAATACTCGAATCCGATATAGTACGAGTAGAATGAGCTTTTCGGATAACAGTGATTATAGCTTTTTTTTTTTGAAAAATGTAAAGTATGTTAGACTAGTAGTGTCATGGGTGATGAAAACTGGTGTGGTACATGCAGGCACAAGGGAGCTCACGGTTTAAAAAAAATCTTAGAATTAAAATTTTTTATTTTCAATTTTTTTGAAAAAAAAAAAAAAAATTTCATTTTAGAACCACATCAATACCCGTCAGAATCGAAAATCGGAATAAAACCAACAGTTTAAAGCCCCGATTTGGATTCAACATTTTAATGAGCCATGCCGAGATTCTAGCACTCCTGTCGGCCCTTGGGATCTGTGGCGCGGAGAACACGCTATAGACCATACAAAAGTGCCAATGATCTCGGCTTCTAATCCAACGCCTGTGCTGGACCCATCAGCCAGTGTGTTCGCCTCATCACCGTTCCTCTAATAATTTACACCCTGTAGAGCCTTCGCTAGCCCAACACCACATTCGGCCGGCCCAAGTGGTTGGCCCACGAAAATTCATATTCTTTTCTCCGCTAGATTAAAGCATCCACCACAAAATAAGATAAATTTTTAAATTTTTTTTATAGTACAATCACAACAGAAAGTTTAACAAAATTTAAATTTAACGTGTAATGATAACAGTAAAGTTATAATAATTTGGATTTAACGTGTAAAATAGATAACAGTAAAAGTTATAAATAATTTGGATCTTAAGGTATAAATTATGTGAGAAAAAGTTAAAATTTGAGTGTTTATAACGTTAAAATTCTTTTTTAGAATGCCATTTCTTAATAATCCGTAATAATTTAGGGTATTATATGATAGCATGATTTAATCAAATCCCATTCTTTGAAATTAAAAATTTTAATTCGATAAGCTAGAAGTATTCAAAATTTAATATTTTTATTATTAATTTTTATCAAATTTTCCAAATTAGGATACAAATATGGTTAAAAATTTATAATTTGAAGTGTTTTGAAGAAATTAAATTAAATGTTAAGGTGTGATTATTACGAGACAAAATTATGTTAATTATGTTTTGTTTTTTTTTTTTTTGTAAAATGAATTTTAGCAAAAGAAGTGATGAGAAAACCAGTTGCTTAATTGTGTTTTTTTTTTTTTTTGTATGATTTAGCAAAAAGAAGTGATGGAAACCAGTTGCTACAGTACAACAAGTGTTTCACGTTGTGATGGAAACAGGACAAGACATTTGAATATAACCTTAATAAAAATATAAAATTTTAAGTAAAGAGATATACCAGATTGTCCTTGTCAGAACGTGAAACATGACGAATGATTTTAATTTCTGAATCAAAATCCCTTTGATTGACTTTTCTACATGTCTTGATTGCATTTATACTCAACTTAAAATTAAAATAGCATCTTAAAAATTAAAACAATATAAATATAAATTGATTTAAACTTTATTTTGAAAGAAAATATTATAATTCAACATATATAAAGTTATGGGTTCAATATGTGAAAGAAAAAAAAAACATTTATAGAAAAGGGATTACGAAATTTAAAACTATTATACCACTTTGATTCCTAAAACTATATTATACATTCATTCCATATAATTCAATATGACATATATTGTGCAATACTTATATTAGATTCTAGTGAAAATGCAAATAAAGTTTACAAAACTAAGAATGTTTTTTTAAATTAATTCAAGAAGACTTTATTATTTTTTATTTATTACATTAAATAAATTTTCAATGTATTTAAAATGCTGAAGATTTGATAGTAAACATCTAAACATTTAAAAATTTGAAAATAAAAATATTAATAAATATTAGATGTGAATATAAACATATATAATTAAATTTTAAAGATCTCTATATAATTATGATTAGATTTTCAAAATTATATTTATTATTATTAAATATTAATTTTTAAAGTTCCAAAAATATTTTAAATGGTCAATTAAAATATAGAAAAATAAAAAATTCAACATTTCTAAAAAAAAAAAAATAGAAATATTAAACACAAACAACCTCTATTTTTTGTTTCAGATTTATACAATTTTAGATAGATAGATATAAAATATATAGGTATATAGAATATGGATATAGATAAACTCGGTTTGAGCTTATTTATTTTGCTCATATAATAAAGGAATCGAGTTTGAACTCGAAGTAAAGCCTATATATTTATATACATATATAGATTAATGGCTATGACTTACTTACACTTAATAATTTTTTTTTATCCTCGGATTGTGGTTCGATTAGCAACGCAGGCTAAGCATGTGGGAAGTGGAAGAGCTCTCGAATTCAATTCCTACTAAACACACCTGCAGGGAGCCCCGAGCCATAGTCCATGGTGATAGGATGCAAATACCGATGGTTTATACCAAAAAACAGTTTTTTATTTGAAAAAAAATAATATTGTTACTAGCTTATCATTTTTTTTTCAATAAATGATCAGAAATAACATCATTTGGGCACAAAAAGTTTTCGATTGGTTTGGTGTATTGGTGGCACAAAAAGTTTTCGATTGGTTTGGTGTATTGGTGAAATCCACACACTAAGTGCAGGTGAGCCCGTACACTAATATACTTAGGGCTTGTTCGATAATACTAGCTATTTTGGTTGCTAGTAGCTATTGTAGTAGCTAGGTGTTTATATAACAAAATTAAAAGTATTCAGTAAAAATAGTTGTTTAATTAGTTATTCAACTTAAAATGAGAAAAAAATTATATTAATTGTTTAATTAACTGAATTCGAAAAAAATAAACAATGACATAATTAGTAAAAAAAACTTAATTAATGTCTATGGAATGCTAAATGTTGGAACGTGTGTTTAATGTTTCATAAAAAATTCTCATGGCCTCTAAAAATTACTATAAATATTATGCTATCCAACAATATAATTAATGGATATATAGTTTTGATTTGGTGAAAATGGTCAACGTTGGATCAACTCCATACCTCAAGGTTTCATTTGAATTCTAACTTGTGAAAAATGTGAGTGTCAAAGTGTGAAAGCATAAGCCACATTTTCAGTTATTTTCCTTTATAAATACTAGGCAAAAGTGTGAAAGCATAAGCCACATTTTCAGTTATTTTCCTTTATAAATACTAGGCAACCTTAGGCAAGATTACAGCAGCATTAACAATTCTCTATTCCAGAACATGGATTTCTCTTCTCCCATCCAGATTATTCTATATTCTCTTGCTTTACTGTTTCTCTGTGCTTTATGGAGGAAAATAACCAAAAAAACCACCAAAACCAAGAAATTTAAAGTCCCTGAACCATCAGGGTCATGGCCATTAATTGGTCATCTTCATCTTCTAACCGGCCAAAAACCAGCGTGTAAGATCCTCGCATCCATTGCTGATGAATCAGGTCCTTTTTACTCCCTCAGGCTAGGTTTTAACCGAATACTGGTCGTTAGCAGTTGGGAATTTGCCAAAGAATGTTTTACCAAAAACGACAGAGTTTTAGCAACCAGAGCAAGCATAGCAGCAGGGAAATACATGGGTTATAACAATGCTGTTTTCTCGTTAGCCCCCTACGGACAATACTGGAGGGATATCAGAAAACTCGCGACTCTTCAGCTTCTCTCGAACAATCGCCTTGTCGAACAATCGCCTTGAAGCCCTTAAACATGTTCGATTTTCGGAAATTGATTTGTTCTTGAAAGAATTATATGATTTGTATTCTCAAAATCATAATCAAAAGGTGATAATAAGCAAGTTATTGGAGCGATTGACGTTTAATATAATCTTAAGAATGATAGTTGGTAAAAGATTTTGCAGTAAAAGTTACAGCGAAGAGAACAGCGAGCCATGGCGGTATAAAAAGGCTATAGAAGAAGCTACTTATCTGTTTGGGAGTGCTGTTCTGTCTGATGCAATTCCATGGCTAGAATGGATTGATTATAAAGGGTACATCAATAGAATGAAGAAAACTGGTAAAGAACTTGAAACTTGATAGATTTGGTTGGAAAATGGTTAGAAGAGCATTTAATGAGAAGAAATGGTTAAATGAAAATGAGAATGGTGAAAATGAACTTCATGGATGTTTATGTTTATCTCACCTCAAGAAGATGAAAATTTGCAAATTTCTGGATATTCACGGTGATATGTACGCTTACAGGCAACTGCAAATGTGGTAAACGTAATATATATAGCATTTATTTATTTTATTGTTGTGTGACTTGTGTTATTGTAATAGATTTGCACTTGTTATTGTAATAGATTTGCACATATTCCGTATATGGACACCAACTAATGTAAATAGAGATTTTGAAAAAATTATTTTTAATTAATTTTTTTCTAATAAATGATCAGAAATATATGGTTTAAATAAAAAATTATTTTTTCACTAATTTAATCTATAGATGCACCTATAATCATAAATAGGGTTTAGGTAAATAAATCCATTTTTAATTAGTCAATCATAAACTATACTTTTTATTTTGATTTTCTTATCAAATTCTTTTAATAATTATTATTTTGAATGAGTTTTTATTTATGAATTGATTTGGTGATAACATGCAAATGAGACTTTGAAGTTCATTAAGTGCAAAATTGACAATACATTATCATTTAACTGAAAAATTAGGAGAAAATTTATAAAGGAAAATATAGTGACAACCCTAGTGGTACCATCTGCCACCACATATTTCGCCGCCACATATTTCTCCTCCACAAAATCTTAGGTTAAGGAAAAAAAATCTAGCGGTACAAGTCCTAATGTTGACGATAAAATTCGGAACGACATTATTTTTTTTTTATATATTAATTGTGCTATTCTAATAAAGTAAATTTAATGAAATCATTCTGAGATAAAGTAATAAAACTAAAAATGGAAAAAAACTAATAAAGTAAATTTAATGAAATCATTCTCAGATAAAGTAATAAAACTAAAAATGGAAAAAAAATTCACATAAATATTACTTGGAACTATAAAGTAGTTATATCTCATTAAATTTATCAATTAAAAAAAATATAAGGATCAAAGATAAAACACATTCCTTTTGCAAAATTATAATAATTTTGTGTAAAGGCATACAAATCTATATGATCCATATAAGTTCATGTTTTCTCTTCTTAGTTTTCAATTCTTAGCAATTATTTTAATTAAAATTTTGGAATATTAACAATAACTAATTTGCTCTACAGGTTCTTTCCCTCACTGGAGCTGGAAGCACAGCAGTGACATTAACATGGGCACTTGCCTTACTGCTAAACAACCCAGATGCGCTAAAATCTGCTCAAGAAGAGCTGAACAGTTATGTAGGCAAATCAAAATGGGTTCAAGAATCAGATATTCCAAACCTAAAATATCTTCAAGCCATTATCAAAGAAACCCTACGCTTATACCCACCTGGACCAATAACAGGAATACGTGAAGCCATGGAAGATTGTGACATTAATGGCCATTATATCCCTAAAGGCACTCGTCTGATCGTTAATATTTGGAAATTACAGAGAGATCCTCGAGTTTGGAATAATCCTGACGAGTTTTTACCGGAAAGGTTTCTTACAACTCATTCTGATATTGATCTTAGAGGTCAGAATTTTGAATTTATTCCTTTTAGTTCAGGAAGAAGGGCTTGCCCTGCTATTAATTTTGGGTTGCAAGTCGTTCAGTTGACACTTGCCAGGCTAATTCAGGGTTTTGATTTATCAAGAATTGGAAATGTGCCTGTGGATATGAAGGAAGGACCGGGACTTTCTTTGCCAAAGGTTAATCCTGTAGAAGTTATCCTCAAACCTAGGCTTGATTTGGAGTTATATCAGTGTCTTTAGTTAGTTAATTTCAAATATATATATCAGTGTCTTTAGTTTTAGTTAATTTCAAATATATATATATATATTCTTTTTCCTGGTGGAAACTATCAGATCAAAGCCAATTGGCTTGATTAATCCAGATTTATGACTAGTAGGCTCACAACAATCGTAAAGTATTCCCTACTAAATTTAAAAGGTGCTTCATACTTAGGGTTCAAAGTCCATGAAAGAAAAACTATTGCCATCTATTTATTTCACGTGTTGATAGTTGTAATATTAGTGTCTTTATAATTAAGCAATCTAGACAAGTCAAGTTAATTAATATACGTTTGTCTCTTTATATATGTTTATGGTTATAATAAAAATAAAATGGAAATATTTCGTTTTTTTTCTTTATTAATATTTAAGTTTCTTGAATTTTATGTTTGTATGATAAGCTATAAATTTTTACTTGCATTTTTGAATTAAAAATGAAATTTGAATTAAGTTGAAATTTACTGATTTTGTATTATAAAAATAGAAAATGAATTTTTACTTGCATTTTTGAATTAAAAATGAAATTTGAATTAAGTTGAAATTCACTGATTTTGTATTATAAAAATAGAAAATGCTTTAATTCTTTTAACTTCTTAAATACTAATTCGTCGTAAACCCAAAAAAGCTTCTATATAGTTTACCCTCAATCTGACTACATCATTAATTATTGGCATCAATCGTCAAACAATTGTGTGGATATAAATAGACAACCCAACAAACTAACAGAGTACGTACGTACTAGATTAAAATCTAATTTATTTATTTTTCTCAATTTGATGCAATTTGATGTGATATATATATATATATTATATATATATAATATATATATATATATATATAATATATATACATATATATATATATAGAATGTTGCCTAACTTTCTTATTTTTATTTTCTTTGCCCTTGGCTTCAACGTAGCTTGGCGTTTGAATAATATGGCGAAATGATTTGATTTATTTAGTATTTTATAAATATTATTTTCAATTATACTTAAAAATATATATATAAGTATACATATAAAAATCTAAACTGAAATAATATAAAAAATTTAGTCAAGATTCTTATATTTTCAATTATACTTAAAAATATATATATAAGTATTACATATAAAAATCTAACTGAATAATATTAAAAATTTAGTCGAATTCTCTGGTTCAATAAATTTATGCCTTTACTGGTTGATTAACCAATTTGGCTTTTAAAACATTTGTAATTAGACAAATAGCTATATTACTAGTATTTTAATCAAATTATTGTTCTAATTTTCTTTCTGAATTATTTGAGAGCTCAAAGTTACTATTAACAGTATTTCACAGAATCATACAAAAGTAATGTTTTTTTATATTAACAGTAATATTCTCGCACTTTTTTTAACAGTTACAGTAATCATGAGAATCACAGAATCATTAAATTGACTAATTCTGCAGAGAATCATAATAATTAATAGTCAACCAAATTACGGCTCAACTTCCAAATTTCTCTCAATTATTATTGAAAATCTCTCAATTATTATTGAAAAATCGGCATGCTAAAATAAAATATTAATTAGTCTTTTATTTACTTCTTCAATTTCAAGATAAGTGTTCTATTGTAATATTAGAGAGCTCAAAATTACTATTTGCATACGATCCTAATCGCCTAAGACTGCGGAAACGTGGTAAACCAAAACAGAATAAGATTTTTTATTAAAACGAGGGTATTTTAACCATAAACAAAAAAAAGATAAATTCGAAATAATTTTTAAAAAATTATTATTGTGATTGGTTTGGTCCCACGGCAAGTAATTTCCAAACCAAATTGCAGCTCATATTTCAAAGTTAAGATATGGGCAATCGATCCTTTTTTTTTTTTTTTCTAGAATAAAAAACTGGAATATTAGTCTTTTTACTTGATTTTTTGTGAGTTTGAAGATATGATTATCCATAGTATTTTTTTATTTCAATATCTCCATTCAATATCTCCAACATAGTGAGAACCACACACTCTTTTTGGGATATTAGGATAAAGGATAATTTGCCAGAATTATTTTTTTAAGTTTTTTTTGCTGGGAAAAATCTTTTCTGCAATTTCTCATATAACCAAAATTCAATTAACTATTAAGTTCCCATTTCCACCCACATACTCAAAAAAGATAGAATCACCATGGATATCTCTTCTCATCTATAGCAATTTTCAGTGGCTTGTAGCAGTAATATGTGTAGTTGTAAAAGTACAAAGTCAGCTGGAGATAAGAGATTACCGCATAAAGATAATAAGAGATTACAGCAATAAAAATAAAGGCTTGTTAGCCCCTGAACCATTTGGAGCCTTGCAAATCCTCGGTCATCTCCATCGACTAGGCACCGAGAAAACCCTTGCCCGAACCTTGGCTCGCCTAGCCGATAAGTATGGTCCCATCTTCACAATCTGGCTCGGTGTTCACCGTACGGTTGTAGTCAGCAGTCATTAAGCAATAAAAGAATGCTTCACAACAAATGATAAAATTTTGGCTTCCAGGTCTAAATCAAGCCTTGGAAAGTACTTGAGTTACAATTATGCCGCTTTTATTTTTGCAACCTACGGTCCTTATTGGCGTAACATGTGAAAAATAGCTGTTATGCAACTCCTTTCAAATCATAGAATAAAGTTGTTGAAGCACATTCAGGCCTCGGAGGTGAACACCCTGATTAAAGACTTGTACTTGCTTTCTATAAATGAACCAAACTCGAACAAGATTGCCATTAGTGAATTTTTCGAACATTTGATTTTAAATATGATTATGAGAATGATTGCAGGGAAGAGATATTTTAATTATGTGAATGATGAAAAAGATGAAGAAGGAGGGAAAAGAATAGGGAAGCTAAGGAGGGAAAAGAATAGGGAAGCTGATGAAGGAATTTATGTATGTTTCAGGTCTTTTTGTTCCTTCAGATGTATTCCCATTTTTATGGTGGATGAACTTCTTAGGACCTGCTAAAACTATGAAGCGTCTATCTAAAGAACTGGATTCTCTTTTGCAAACTTGGATTGATGAACATAAATTGAAGAGAATCAATCAGATTAGAGATGATGATGATTGCAAGAGCATAGAGAAGGAGGACTTCATTGATGTGATGCTATCGGTTTTAGAGGATGATTTCTTTGGTCACTCACGGGAAGACATCATCAAAGGAACAGTCCTTGTAAGTCTTCGTTTTCGTTAATCTAAACTTAAGTTTCATAAAAAATACAACGGTTTGAACCAAATCGATCTAATTCAGTCTTACAATTTAAACATTTTGATTCTATTAATTAATATAGAATTTTCTATTATATTCTATTAATATAGAATATAATATATTGTAATTTGAATATTTTAAATGTTATGCTTGCAGGCTCATATAATAGGAGGAGCTGATACAACATCGATAACCCTAACATGGATTTTGTCAAATTTATTGAACAACAGACATGCACTAGAGCTTGCCCAACAAGAACTAGACCTCAAAGTTGGAAGAGAAAGATGTGTACAAGATTCTGACATAGAAAAATTAGTATACCTTCAAGCCGTTATTAAAGAAACATTGCGATTATACCCACCAGGTCCACTTGCAGTTCCACACGAAGCAGTAGAGGATTGTTACATTTCTAGGTATTATATTCCGAAAGGAACTCGAATATTTGCAAATTTGTGGAAATTACATAGAGATCCAAATGTTTGGTCGAATCCTGACGAGTTCTTGCCAGAAAGATTTCTTGCTAATGAAGGTAAAAATGTAGATTTTTCTGGTCAGAATTTTGAGTATATACCATTTGGATCCGGAAGAAGGTCTTGTCCTGGTATTAATTTTGCAATACAAGCAATACATGGTATTAATTTTTGCAAATAGCAAGCAATACAAATATGATGCTGTTGGCCTGAAGTTAGCGTTCAAGGCATTTTTAAGTTTTCTAAACAAACACCTATTTGATCAGGCTGTGGATATGTACTGAATGGTAAGTACGGTATTTAGCCGTTGGCGCTAAGGCTACTCCGTTTGGAAAATTGGCAGATCAACTCCACGTCAAATTCAGATCACTCCACGTCTTTCTTCTGCATTATATGAATACTAGTTGGTAGATTTAAGTCCAAAGTTATCATTTTTGGGGTTTATGGAAGTTGTGCACTATGAATTGAATTATTTCAATTTGCTTATATGAATAAATCAACTTTGGTCCAATATTTATTTGAGTACAATTTTTTTTACTCAACTATGAATATGAGACTAATCTCGTTTCGGGATTGTGTCTACTTGTTCTTTAGAAATTATAGAGATTGTTTATTGTTTTAAGCATGCTTACCATTTGATTCGCTTCTCATGGCTTATTGAAATCGTTTATAAAACTATAAGATTCTAGGTAAGAAGCCACTAATTTATTAGATTAAGTTTAGGAGACAAATTTGAAAAAAAAAAAAAAAAAAGAATTTGAAAAAAAAAAAAAAAAAAAAAAAGAGTAATCGGATTAATTCAGCCCGAAACTAAGCTAGAGTTAAGACTATCATTTGCTCGTTTGTGATAATAGCAATGGGGTTGGACTGAAACCGTGATTAGAATCAGCGCCTGGGGTTGGGCAGGGTTTGGCAAAATTTAAATCCTTAAACTAAGCCTTGAACCCAACCTAATATCCGTTAAGGTTTGATTCAACCTAACCTAGGCTCCTTCCTATAATTATTAATTGTTGAATGATATTGAGTAATGATGAGTGATGAATTCAATTTTTTTTTTTTTTAGCCAATTTTGATATTATAGACGCTGTTCAGGCAAATTATGATAGATGAATTCAATTTTTTTTTTTTTAGCCATTTGATATTATAGACCTGTTCAGCAAAATTAACTATTTTGACAGCTTTTCATGAAAAGCATTTAGCTTTTTGAGAACTTATAAGGGACGGTACAACCAATGAGAAAAATGAATATCAATTGAAATTAAATGTTATATTATCAAGAATCAAACCTAGAAACGTGGTCCCAGACTTCACCCTTACCACTAGGCTACAAGTCATTTGTAATGAATTCAAATTTAACTTCAAAAATTGCAAAGTAATAAATACACCATTATTGGGATCAATCTTGAAATGAGATAAAATTTTAAATTTTTTACAGTACAATCACAACAGAAAGTTTAAGAAAATTTAAATTTAACGTGTAATTATAACAGTACAGTTATAATAATTTGAATTTAAGGTATAATTATGAGAAAAAGTTAGAATTAAAGTGTCTACACATTAAAATTCTTTTTGGAGTGCAGTTCTTATAATTCGTAAAGTTTAGGGTATTTTATTGCATGATTTAATCAACTCATTTTTTGGGTTATAACTTAAGTCGACGAGTTAAAAGTTTTAAATTTATATATTTTTATTCATTAATTTTTATCAAATTTCAAATTAGGAAACAAATATGTTAAAAAGTTATAATAGAAGTGTTTGAAGAATTAAATTAAATTTAAGGTGTGATTATTACGAGACATAAAATAATGATTATGATTTTTTTTTTTTGGTATGATTTAGCCAAAAGAAGTGATGGAAACCTGTTGCTACAGTTCAACAAGTGTTTCACGTTGTGATGGAAACAGGACAAGACATTTGAATATAAGCTTAATAAAAATATAAAATTTTATGTAAAGGACATGTACCAGATTGTCCTTGTCAGAACGTGTAACATGACGAATGATTTTAATTTCTGAATCAAAATCCCTTTGATTGACTTTTCTACATGTCTTGATTGCATTTATACTCAACTTAAAATTAAAATAGCATCTTAAAAATTAAAAACAATATAAATATAAATTGATTTAAATTTTATTTTTAAAGAAATTATTATAATTCAACATATATAAAGTTATGGGTTCAATCTGTTAAAAAAAAAAAAAAACATTTATAGAAAAGGCGATTGCGAAATTTAAAATTATTATACCACTTTGATTCCTAAAACTATATTATACAATCATTCCATATAATTCGATGACATATATTGTGCAATAATTATATTAGATTCTAGTGAAAATGCAAATAAAGTTTACAAAACTGAGAATGTTTTTTTAAATTAATTCAAGAAGACTTTATTATTTTTTATTTATGACATTAAATAAATTTTCAATGTATTTAAAATGCTGAAGATTTGATAGCAAAAATATAAAACATTTAAAAATTTGAAAATAAAAATATTAATAAATATTAGATGTGAATATAAACATAAATAATTAAATTTTAAAGATCTCTTTATAGTTATGATTATATTTTCAAAATAATATTTATTATTATTAAATATTAATTTTTAAAGTTTCAAAAATATTTTAGATGGTCAATTAAAATATAGAAAATAAAAAAATTCAACATTTCTAAAAATAGAAAAATAGAAATATTAAACACAAAGAACCTCTATTTTTTGTTTCAGATTTATATAATTTTAGATAGATAGATATAAAATATATAGATATATAGAATATGGATACGGATAAACTCAGTTTGAGCTTATTTATTTTGCTCATATAATAAATGAATCGAGTTTGAACTCGAATTAAAGCCTATATATTTATATACACATATACATTAATGGATATGACTTACTTAAACTTAATAATTTTTTATACATTAATGGATATGACTTACTTACACTTAATATTTTTTTTTTTTATCCATGGGTTATAGTTCAATTGGCAACGCAGGCTAAGCATGTGGGAAGTGGAAGAGCTCTCGAATTCAGTCTCCACTAAACACACACCTGCAGGGAGCCCCGAGCCATAGTCCATCGTGATAGGATGCAGATACTGATGGTTTATACCAAAAAACAGTTTTTTATTTGAAAAAATAATATTGTTACTAGCTTATCATTTTTTTTCAATAAATGATCAGAAATAACATCATTTGAGCTAACATCATTTGAGTACAAAAAAGTTTTCAATTGGTTTGGTATATTGGTGAAATCCACACAGTAAGTGCGGGTGAGCCCGTACACTAATATACTTAGGGCTTGTTCGACAATACTAGTTATTTTGGTTGCTAGTAGCTGTTGTAGTAGCTAGGTGTTTATATAACAAAATTAAAAGTATTCAGTAAAAATAGTTGTTTAATTAGTTATTCAACTTAAAATGAGAAAAAAAGTTGGTTTGGGTATATTGGTGAATATCCCAACAGTAAGTGCGGGTAGAGCCCGTGACACTAATATACTTAGGGCTTTGTTCGACAATACTAGTTATTGGTAATACTAGTTATTTTGGTTGCTAGTAGCTGTTGTAGTAGCTAGGTGTTTATATAACAAAATTAAAAGTATTCAGTAAAAATAGTTGTTTAATTAGTTATTCAACTTAAAATGAGAAAAAAATCATATTAATTGTTTAATTAACTGAATTCGAAAAAATAAACAATGACATGATTAGCAAAAAAAATTTAATTAATGTCTATGGAATGCTAAATGTTGGAATGTGTGTTTAATGTTGCATAAAAAATCTCTCATAGCCTCTAAAAATTACTATAAATACTATGCTATCCAACAATATAATTAATGGATATATAGTTTTGATTTGGTGAAAATGGTCAATGTTGGGTCAATTCCATACCTCAAGGTTTCATTTGAATTCTTTCATTTGAATTCTTACGACGTTGGTGAAAAATGTGAGTGTTCAAAAGTGTGAAAAGGCATAGAGCCACATTTTCAGTTATTTAAAGTGTGAAAGCATAAGCCACATTTTCAGTTATTTTCCTTTATAAATACTAGGCAACCTTAGGCAAGATTACAGCAGCATTAACAATTCTCTATTCCAGAACATGGATTTCTCTTCTCCCATCCAGATTATTCTATATTCTCTTGCTTTACTGTTTCTCTGTGCTTTATGGAGGAAAATAACCAAAAAAACCACCAAAACCAAGAAATTTAAAGTCCCTGAACCATCAGGGTCATGGCCATTAATTGGTCATCTTCATCTTCTAACCGGCCAAAAACCAGCGTGTAAGATCCTCGCATCCATTGCTGATGAATCAGGTCCTTTTTACTCCCTCAGGCTAGGTTTTAACCGAATACTGGTCGTTAGCAGTTGGGAATTTGCCAAAGAATGTTTTACCAAAAACGACAGAGTTTTAGCAACCAGAGCAAGCATAGCAGCAGGGAAATACATGGGTTATAACAATGCTGTTTTCTCGTTAGCCCCCTACGGACAATACTGGAGGGATATCAGAAAACTCGCGACTCTTCAGCTTCTCTCGAACATCGAACAATCGCCTTGAAGCCCTTAAACATGTTCGATTTTCGGAAATTGATTTGTTCTTGAAAGAATTATATGATTTGTATTCTCAAAATCATAATCAAAAGGTGATAATAAGCAAGTTATTGGAGCGATTGACGTTTAATATAATCTTAAGAATGATAGTTGGTAAAAGATTTTGCAGTAAAAGTTACAGCGAAGAGAACAGCGAGCCATGGCGGTATAAAAAGGCTATAGAAGAAGCTACTTATCTGTTTGGGAGTGCTGTTCTGTCTGATGCAATTCCATGGCTAGAATGGATTGATTATAAAGGGTACATCAATAGAATGAAGAAAACTGGTAAAGAACTTGTAAAGAACTTTGATGATGGTTGGAAAATGGTTAGAAAGTTACTATTAATGAATGGGAAGAATGGGGGTTAAATGAAATATGAGTAATGGGGTGAAATAATGACTTCTGGATGTATATGTTATCTACCCTTCAAGAAGAGAGTGAAAGTTGCCAAATTTCTGGATATCTCACGTGGATATTGGTCGGTTAAAGGGGCAACCTGCGTGGTACGTAATATATATATTTATATTTATTTATTGGGTTGTTGTGAAGTTTGTTGATTAATAGATTTGCCACATATTGCCGTTATAATGGACATGGCCCACTTAGATGGTAAATAGAGATTTTGGAAAAAATTATTTTTTAATGGTTTATTTTTTTTCCTAAGATAAATGATCAGAAATATATAGTTTTTAAATAAAAAAATTATTTTTTTCAGATCCTAATTTAATCTATAAGATGCAGGCCTATAATCAAAATTAGGCTTAAAGGTTAATTAATGCTTTTTATTTTAGTCAATCAAACAACTATACTTTTTATTTTTGATTTCCTTATCAAATTCTTTTAATATAATTAATTTTGAATGAGGTTTGTTATTTATGAATTATTTGGTATAATATGCGAATGAGAATTTGAAGTTCATTAAGTGCAGAATTGACGAGAATACTAGTATCATTTAACTGAAAAATTAGGAGACAATTTAATTGAAGGAAAATATCAGTGACAACCCTGAGGTGGTACCATACCCACCACATTTTCTTCCTTCAAACGAAAATCTTATGGGGTTAGGCAAAAAATCTAAACGGTACCAGTCCTAGTGTTGACGACAAAATTCGCGGGAAACCGCAACATTATTTTTTTTTTTATTAAAGATTGTGCTATTCTAAATAAAGTAATTTAATAAAATGCATTCTGGAATAAGTAATAAAAATACTAAAAAATTTAAAAAAAAAAATTCCCAAAAGAAAACATTTAATATTACTTGGAACTATAAGTAGTTAATAATTCATGTATTTACAATTAAAAAAAATATAAGGAATCAAAGATAAACACATTACTTGTTTGCAAAATTTATATATAATTTTGTGTAAGGCAAACAAATTCTAATAATGATATCCATATAAGTTCATGGTTTTCTCTTCTTAGTTTTTCAATCCTTTAGCAATTTATTTTGGAGAATATTTAAACAATAACTAATTTGCTCTAACGACAGGTTTCTTTCCCTCACTGGAGCTGGAAGCCAGCATCAACCTTAGGCAAGATTACAGCAGCATTAACAATTCTCTATTCCAGAACATGGATTTCTCTTCTCCCATCCAGATTATTCTATATTCTCTTGCTTTACTGTTTCTCTATGCTTTATGGAGGAAAATAACCAAAAAAACCACCAAAACCAAGAAATTTAAAGTCCCTGAACCATCAGGGTCATGGCCATTAATTGGTCATCTTCATCTTCTAACCTGGACCAATAACAGGAATACGTGAAGCCATGGAAGATTGTGACATTAATGGCTATTATATCCCTAAAGGCACTCGTCTGATCGTTAACATATGGAAATTACAGAGAGATCCTCGAGTTTGGAATAATCCTGACGAGTTTTTACCGGAAAGATTTCTTACAACTCATTCTGATATTGATCTTAGAGGTCAGAATTTTGAATTTATTCCTTTTAGTTCAGGAAGAAGGGCTTGCCCGGCTATTAATTTTGGGTTGCAAGTCGTTCATATTTGACGCTTGCCAGGTTAATTGCAGGGTTTTGATTTATCAAGAATATGGAAATGACGGCCTGTGGAGGGTTTTGATTTATCAAGAATTGGAAATGAGCCTGTGGATATGAAGGAAGGACCGGGACTTTCTTTGCCAAAGGTTAATCCTGTAGAAGTTATCCTCAAACCTAGGCTTGATTTGGAGTTATATCAGTGTCTTTAGTTAGTTAATTTCAAATATATATATATATTAATCCATATTTATATCCGGTAGGGTCACAAAGACAGTAAAGCATTTCCTACTAAGTTTAAAAGGTACTTCATATCTAGGGTTCGAACTTCATGAAGGAGAAACTATTGCCATCTATCTATTTCACGTATTGATAGTTGTAATATCAGTGTCTTTATAATTAAGCAATCTAGACAAGTCAAGTCAATTAATATATGTGTGTCTCTTTATATATGTTTATGGTTATAATAAAAATAAAACGGAAATATTTCCTTTTTTTTCTTTATTAATATTTAAGTTTCTTGAATTTTATGTTTGTATGATAAGCTATAAATTTTTACTTGCATTTTTGAATTAAAAATGAAATTTGAATTAAGTTGAAATTCACTGATTTTGTATTATAAAAATAGAAAATGCTTTAATTCTTTTAACTTCTTAAATACTAATTCGTCGTAAACCCAAAAAAGCTTCTATATAGTTTACCCTCAATCTGACTACATCATTAATTATTGGCATCAATCGTCAAACAATTGTGTGGATATAAATAGACAACCCAACAAACTAACAGAGTACGTACGTACTAGATTAAAATCTAATTTATTTATTTTTCTCAATTTGATGTTTATTTTTTAATTTTCTCAATTTGAATTGTATATATATATATATATATATATATTATTATAATAGATATATTATATTAATAATATATAATAATGTTTCTAAAGTTCTAATTTTTCATAGAAAAATATTGTCCAAATCATTTCTATATAATGTTTCTAAGTTCTAATTTTTCATAGAAAAATATTGTCAAATTTCATTTTTGAAGAGGATCAAATTAAATAAGAAAAAAAAAATGTAAAATGATATTATTTTGTAAATTTTCTTTGCCCCTTGGCTCCAATGTAGCTTGGCGTTGAATATATGGCGAATAATTTTGATTTATTTAGTATTTATAAATATTATATTTTCAATTATACTTAAAAATATATTTAAAAGTATTATATATAAAAATCCAATTGAGTAATATTAAAAATTTAGTCGAATCCTCTAGTTCAATAAATTTCTGCCTTTATCGGTTGATTAACCAATTTGGCTTTTAAAACATTTGTAATTAGACAAATAGCTATATTACTAGTATTTTAATCAAATTATTGTTCTAATTTTCTTTCTGAATTGTTTGAGAGCTCAAAGTAACCATTAACAATATTTCACAGAATCGTATAAAAGTAAATTTTTTTTTATATTAACATTAATATTCTCGCACTCTTTTTTAACATTTACAGTAATCACGAGAATCACAGAATCATCGAATTGACTAATTCTGCAGAGAATCATAATAATTAATAGTCAACTAAATTACGGCTCAACTTCCAAATTTCTCTCAATTATTATTGAAAAATCGGCATGTTAGACTTATTTTTCTCCTAAAATAAAATATTAATTAGTCTTTTATTTACTTCTTCCAATTCAAGATAATTGTCCTATCGTAATATTAGAGAGCTCAAAATTACTATTTGCACACAATCCTAATCGCCTAAGACTGCGGAAACATAGTAAACCAAACCATAATAAGATTTTTTTTTTTATTGAAATGAGTTTATTTTAACCATAAACAAAAAAAAAGATAAACTCAAAATACTTTTTAAAAAATTATTACTGCGATTGGTTTGGTCCGATTGGTTTGGTCCGACGGCGAGTAATTTCCAAAGCAAATTGCAGCTCATATTTCAAAGTTAAGATATGGGCATTCGATCTTTTTTTTTTTTTTTTTTTTTTTTTTTTTTTTTTTTTTTTTTTTTTTTTTTTTTTTTTTTTTTTTTTTTTTTTTTTTTTCTTTTCTAGAATCAAAAACTGGAATATTAGTCTTTTTACTTGATTTTTTCTGAGTTCGAAGATATGATTATCTATAGTATTTTTTTTATTTCAATATCTCCAACCATAGTGAGAACCACACACTCTTTTTGGATATTAGGATAAGGATAATCATAGTGAGAACCACACACTCTTTTTGGATATTAGGATAAGGATAATTTGCCAGAAGTTATTTTTTAGTTTTTTGCTTGGAAAATCTTTTCTGCATTTCTCATATACCAAATTCAATTAACTATTAATTTCCCCATTTCCACCCACATACTCAAACAAAAGATAGAATCACCATGGATATCTCTTCTCATCTACTAGCAATTTCAGTGGCTGTAGCAGTAATACTTCTATTGTACAAGTACAATCAGTGGAGAATAAGAGATTACAGCCATAAAAATAAAGGCTTGTTAGCCCCTGAACCATCTGGAGCCTTGCCAATCCTCGGTCATCTCCATCTACTAGGCACCGAGAAAACCCTTGCTCGAACCTTGGCTCGCCTAGCAGATAAGTATGGTCCCATCTTCACAATCTGGCTCGGTGTTCACCGTACGGTTGTAGTCAGCAGTCATGAAGCAATTAAAGAATGCTTCACAACAAATGATAAAATTTTGGCTTCCAGGTCTAAATCAAGCCTTGGAAAGTACTTAAGTTACAATTATGCAGCTTTTATTTTTGCAACCTACGGTCCTTATTGGCGTGACATGCGAAAAATAGCTGTTATCCAACTCCTTTCGAACCATAGAATAAAGTTGTTGAAGCATATTCAGGTTTCGGAGGTGAACACCCTGATTAAAGACTTATACGTGCTTTCTATAAATGAACCAAGCTCGAACAAGATTGCCATTAGTGAATTTTTTGAACATTTGATTTTAAATATGATTACAAGAATGATTGCAGGGAAGAGATATTTTAATTATGTGAACGATGAAAAAGATGAAGAAGGAGGGAAAAGAATAGGGAAGCTGATGAAGGAATTTATGTATGTTTCAGGTCTTTTTGTTCCTTCAGATGTATTCCCATTTTTATGGTGGATGAACTTTTTAGGACCTGCTAAAACTATGAAGCGTCTATCTAAAGAACTGGATTCTCTTTTGCAAACTTGGATTGATTTTTGCAAACTTGGGAAATTGATGAACATAAATTGAAGAGAATCTAATCAAAAATTAGAGGATGATGTGTGATGTGCAAGAGCACTAGAAATGGAGGACCTTCATTGTGATGTGATGCTATCGTTTTAGAGGATGATTTCTTTGGTCACTCACCGGGGAAGACATCATCAAAGGAACAGTCCTTGTAAGTCTTCGTGTAATCTAAACTTTAAAGTTTCATAAAAAGACTACAACTTCGTTAATCTAAACTTAAGTTTCATAAAAAATACAACGGTTTGAACCAAATCGATCTAATTCAGTCTTACAATTTAAACATTTTGATTCTATTAATTAATATAGAATTTTCTATTATATTCTATTAATATAGAATATAATATATTGTAATTTGAATATTTTAAATGTTATGCTTGCAGGCTCATATAATAGGAGGAGCTGATACAACATCGATAACCCTAACATGGATTTTGTCAAATTTATTGAACAACAGACATGCACTAGAGCTTGCCCAACAAGAACTAGACCTCAAAGTTGGAAGAGAAAGATGTGTACAAGATTCTGACATAGAAAAATTAGTATACCTTCAAGCCGTTATTAAAGAAACATTGCGATTATACCCACCAGGTCCACTTGCAGTTCCACACGAAGCAGTAGAGGATTGTTACATTTCTAGGTATTATATTCCGAAAGGAACTCGAATATTTGCAAATTTGTGGAAATTACATAGAGATCCAAATGTTTGGTCGAATCCTGACGAGTTCTTGCCAGAAAGATTTCTTGCTAATGAAGGTAAAAATGTAGATTTTTCTGGTCAGAATTTTGAGTATATACCATTTGGATCCGGAAGAAGGTCTTGTCCTGGTATTAATTTTGCAATACAAGCAATACACAATACATACTGAGCTGTTGCTAGGTTTACTTCAAAGCAGTTTAGTTCCACCAAACACCATTTGAGTCCAGGCTGTGGATATGATCTGAAAGTATAAGGTTTTATTACCCTTGCCTAAGGCTTACTTCCTTTGGAACATTCCAGATCAAATTCAGATCACTCCACGTCTTTCTTCTGCATTATATGAATACTAGTTGGTAGATTTAAGTCCAAAGTTATCATTTTTGGGGTTTATGAGAAGTTGTGCACTATGAATTGAATTATTTCAATTTGCTTATATGAATAAATCAACTTTGGTCCAATATTTATTCGAGTATAATTTTTTTTTACTCAACTAGAAGTATGAGACTAATCTCGTTTCGGGATTGTGTCTGCTTCTTCTTTATAAATTTTATTTTATAAATTATAGAGATCGTCTATTGTTTTTAAACATGCTTACCATTTGATTTGCTTCTCATGGCTTATTGAAATCATTTATAAAACTATAAGATTCTAGGTAAGAAGCCACTAATTTATTAGATTAAGTTTAGGAGACAAATTTGAAAAAAAAAAAAAAAAAAATGAAAAAAAAAAAAAATACAAAAAAAAGATTAGATCGGATTTATTCAAGCCCAGAAACTAAGTAGAGTAATAGCTATCATTTCTCGTTTTTGTATAATTAGCAATGGGTTGGACTGAAAACCGCGAATAAATCAGGCCCAGTTGGTAAAATTTAAACCTTAAAACTAAGCTTGACCCAACCTTATATCTATAAGGTCTTGATTTCTAACCTTAATCCTAGCTCCTGTCCTATATTTATTAATGGTTGGAATTCGATATTGAGGTATGATAGATGGGAATTCATCATTTTTTTTTTTTGCCTTTTTTTTTTTTTTGCCATTCGATATTATAGATCTATTCAGCAAAATTAACTATTTTGACAGCTTTTCATGAAAAGCATTTAGCTTTTTGAGAACCTATAAGGGATAATACAACCCAACGAGAGAAATGAATGCCAATTGAAATTAAATGTTACATTATCAAGAATCAAATCTAGAAACGTGGTCCCAGACTCCACCCTTACAACTAGGCTAGAAGTCATTTGTAATGAATTCGAATTTAACTTCAAAAATGGCAAAGTAACAAATACACCATTATTGGGATCAATCTTGACACAAATGTGTGGATATAAATGGACAGACTATCTATCTGAGTGGGAATTTTTCCCCTCAGTTTTTGTAATATATATATACAAATGTGTGGATATAAATGGACAGACTATCTATCTGAGTGGGAATTTTTCCCCTCAGTTTTTGTAATATATATATTAATAAAATATAATTAGTTAAGTGTTTAATTTAATTAATTAATTAAAATTGATATAATATTAAGAAATCACATATACATTACGATAAAAACATAAATTGAGTAACATAATAAATAGAATCACAGTCATTACTCATTAATATTCTTCTTTCAATAACTTAAACAAAAATCTTATTTTGACTACATTAAAAACTAATTTCCAATTTAATTTTTTTTATGTGAATATAGAATGCTTTTAACTTCTATTTTTGTTTTATTTTTCATAGAAAAAGAGTTGAATTTCATTTTTTAAAGAGATAAATTAAATAAGAAGATAATAAAATGATATTATTTCGTCAATTTTCAACAACGTACTTATCCCTTCAATATATGGCCTCATAATTTTAAAATTTCCTTATTTATATACTTACATATTATCTTTTTCATAGGTAAAAATAAAATTTATCTTAATTATATGAAAATTTTAATATATCAAAGCACTAACATATAGCATATTATTAAAAGTTTAACTAATTATTTATTTTTATTTCCATGAAAATTCCTAAATTTATTTTTGTCCCTTCAAGGTTAAAAGATTTAGCCAAAAAGTAATTAATTAAACATGAGAAACAACAGAAAAGGAAACTTCATGTGGCTTTTTAAGGTGCATAGCATGATGCATCTTTCTTTAAATATTTCTAATTTCTAATTTTAAATTTCTAAAGCATTTATCATCGAAAGCAATCGGTGCTTAGATAATTTTCTATGATCCTATCACAATGTAGACAATTAATCCAATGGAAAGAGAAATTCGTGACTTTCGCCAACTTATGAAAGAGACGTTGATGGAAAATGTCCCCTCTCCTATTTATTTATTTATTATCCGAAAATGATATTTTTAGTTTGCGAAATATAATTGCTATGTCCCTATCTTTTAGAAAATAGATTAAAACATTTTTATAGTTTATTTCCGTCAGACTATAAGGTTATTCCGTTCAATTTTTGTATTTTTTCTATTAAGTACCTTATCAAATGAAGAAAATATCCATTTTATTTTTTAAAATACAAAGAGGGACTAGCTGTATTTTTCAAACCGTAGAGACGTACTCTAAATTTTTTAGTATAATATTTTAGTATATTTCCTTTTTTACCTTTGTGTTTTCTTGTTGACTTAACGAAAAATATGCAAAAATTGAATAAAATGACCTAATAGTATAACGGAAGTAAAATATAGGGACAAATTGATATATTTAAAAAAAGATAGAGACGAACTAATTGTATTTCGCAAACTATAAGTATCATACTATAACTTTTTCTTTATTATATAAATGAGGGGATAAAATCCGGAAGAAGAATAAAACTAAGATTAAAATATGCCCCAAATGTAGCTAAACTATCCTTTCATATGCATCTAACAATATTCGTAATCACTAAATTAATGTTATTATAATATTTATTTTTTATTTTTAAACATTCGGTATCCAAAGTTCATTTATAAAATTAATCTAGATTTACGTCGAAAGCCCAAAAAGGAATCAAAATATTTCCTTCTAAATATTTAAAGAGACTTCACATTTAGAGCTTAAACTCGAAACTTCTATTTTACCCATCGACATCTTATAATACTGTTATATCATAATAATTAATAACGAAACCCTAAAACTACAGGTTTGAAATTTTCAATATTATGACTACTAACGAGAACCACACATTCACTGAATTGACTAATACTAGGAAGAATTAAAATAACAGCCAACCAAATTATACATACCCAAATTTATTATTATAATTTTCTCTCTAAATTCTTAGAGAGCTCAAAAGTTACCATTAGTAATATTTTACAGGATCCTAAAAGCAATTTGCTGAAAGTCTTTTTTTTTTTTTTTTTTTTTTTTTTTTTTTTTTTTATTTTTCACTTTACTTTTATTTTTCTTATTATCAAGATTAAGCACTTAGGTCGAGTGGAAAGATATATTAATCCATGGAGAGAAGTACAGACAGTTACGATTTTTTCAGCATAATTTATTGGCCTTTCCCATGTTCGAGTAAGTAATTAAATTACTCTTTTATTAAATTTTATTTTTTTTAAACATGCGATCGCAAAAATCGAGAAAGTATAATTTTACCCATTGTATGGCCTTAGGCTTAAACTACTTCCTTCTCAGTTTGTGTTGACATTCTTTATACTATATAATTTTCCAGTTAGCATTACCAACTAAAAATTTAATGTTTATTCAATAAAGAAGCTATATTCTATATAACTATTTTTTTCAGCTTCTAGATTTTTAATTACCTATTAACGTGCCGAGAATTTCCAATAGTTTTCCACTTCTTGATTAAAGTTAATTTTAAACTTTGCAGAACGTTTAAGTGGAGGATTTTTAAAACAATCTCGAAAGCCCAAGAAATAAACAGTAATTGCAAAATTATAAATAGTCCCATGATCAAATTATAATAATGTTAAATTTTTTATAAAGTTGTATAATGAGAGGGCTTTACATTTCTTAGCAAAGAGGCCGTATTTTAAACGGAAACTCTTCCGAGATGCGCTTTTGGGTTTGAACTCAGCTTTAAATTATATTTTATTCGAACCGCAATTCATCCATCCGACATCTTATAACGATATTCCGTAGTTCGTATATATCAGTGACTATATTCAAAATTGCTTGTAATCGGGTCAGATATATCCCTTTGTTAATTTGACGAGTTTCTCGATACATCGAAATTGTCTTGTTTCTTCGCCTATTTATTGACTTACTTAACGAGAAACCACACATTTTCCCGTAATTGACTATACTAGAAAGAATTTTAAAATAACAGGCGCAACCAA